AAGATATATAAGCTTGCATGAGTAATTTATGTTTTTCACAAAATGCTTAAATAATATAGCTTCAATCCCTAATAGTCACAGAATTCCGCTCTTTTATTTGTTGTTGTAAGAAACATTTCTGCTTCCAGTGGGTACAAAATATTCCTTCCTTGCTACTCGCACACTTTACTGCATGTTCATCTTTCTAGAAAAGCATACATTTTATGAAACGGTTGTATTAGAAACTGAACTTGGGATCATGTTCACCATAGCACACTTGAAAAATATTCTAGTATATATTTTTTTAAATGGCAAAATGGATGAAAACACCACATCATGGTTTCTTTTAAGCAAAAACTTTAAGTTCTCTTATTACTTAGAAACGTGATACTTCACACCAACCAAAAACACTGTGGGGGTATGGAATGAAGAGCAGAAAACTGAATACAGAGAACTCAAGCTCACCCCAGGATTCTTGGCAATTAAGAAAGTTGGTTTCAGTCAGGTATTACCATACTGTGTTTAGTGGGGGATGAAGTAACTGAATATTGTGCCTATAACATATATCTTTATACATGCTATGAATGTGTTTAAAACTAGATAAGGACATAATTTGAGTCTGTAATTCTCTGACTTTCGACAGTATCTATTATATCAATTATAACAGAGAGAGAGAGACAGAGAGAGAGAGAGAGAGAGAGAGAGAGAGAGAGAGAGAGAGAGAGAGAGAGAGAGACTGAAAAAGGAGCTAAGGAGCAAATTAGAAGGAAGTGTTTTGAAGTCAAATCACATTTTACCTTCCCCAGGGAGATTAAGTGACTTTCTCGAGTAAATTAGAGACAGTAAGTAGCAGAGCTGGTGACTACAAATTAATTCTAGCACACCATGTGACCACTTTTCTTCTCTGAGGAAGGATATACTGTTCTAACCACTATTTTGTTGTCTTCAAATGGTGTTATTTAGAGTGTTGAGAGGAAACAAACATAGACTCTTTAAGAAAAGTTTCTGTTGCTGCAACTTGGATTTTCCTGTGAGGCTCCTATTATATTCTAGAGTTAAGGGTCGGCACAGCAACATGGTTGCGTGGCGGAAGCCTCTCTTGGGTGGATGTGGAACAAACAACAGGGGGAAAGGAGTGGAATGCTGTGTTTTTTGGGACTTCCTGAGACTGGATTCTGGCCACAAGGAGGCTCACCTGTCTATGGGGACTAGGGAAGACCAAGGGACTTAGAGCTAATGGCGACTCATTCTAAAAAAAAATAAGGAACCTGAAAGTCCACCTGTGTAGTATTTATTATTCAAAGATAAAAAGCATTACATATTTGATGTAGTGTATATGTATCATTCAAAGAGCGGAAATCAATGCATAGGTATTCTCACTCTAAGGAATGGCTTGGAGTTAATTTGGAACTTAAGTCATAGGTAAGGAGGTTAATAAAGCTGTCATTTGGTCAGGGAGGTACAAAATTTGAAGGTACAGTCATCCCTCCATGTCCATGGGAGATTGGTTCTAGGAGCCCCCACAGATCCCAAAATCTGAGGATTCTCAAGTCCCTTAACCAGCCTTCCGTATCCATGGATACAGAACACACGGATACAGAAGGCCAACTGTATTCTATTTCTTTCCCTTTTGCTACTTAATGCAATTCTTTATGTTTACCTAGTAAGCAGTTAAATAAAATATATACAGCATCTATAAAAATCATCACTCCTCCTAGGGATACCCCGGTGATAAGGCTATGAGCCATCATCTATGACATTCCTGATTGGGGACAAGCTGGCTGCATACAAGAAAATGAGAGAACGCATTACAAATCCAACCCCATAAAGTGACAACAGGCATAGCCTCTTGCACGTCCCCCCTTCATCTTTGACATGTAGCAAATCATGTGAATTAATGAGACACAACAGAACAACCTTCAGGAACATGTTAAAGTTTAAAAGCAGAACCGTTCTATTATTGTGTTACCTGAAATCTGAACACTTTATCATCTCTGGTTTGAACCATGGTCTTGTTTTTCTCTCATGAGTGTGTGAATTTTAGTATGGAAAATATTAAGTTTCTTAACACAAAAATGTTTCATATAAATAACAGAATTTTTAGAGAGGTTTTACAACATTCTTGGAAACAGAGTAGAAAAATACACCAGCCAAACACTAAAAAGGATTCCATTTTTTTTTTCTTTTGATGGAACCACATGTAAACTAAAATTTATGTGCAGAGAGCATTTAGATCCTGGTCCCAGAAAGGATAAACTAGGCACGGCTACTGGGAGAATATGCCTAACAAAAAATCCATATGAGGAAGCTATCCTTGAAGCATCTCTTCTGATTGCCAACTCACAGTGGGCTGTCTACACAGCACCAACAACTACCTGCTAAAAAGTACACCATTTAAATTAGGTACTGCTTACTATTATGAGCCAATTAATCTCACTTTTTTTTTTAAGATTTTTATTGGGGAATTGGGGGGATGGGAACAGTGCTGGGGGATTGGGGAAGGGGAACAGACAGGTTGCTGTCGTTTTTGTTCTTCAATCTAGTTGTGGAGGATGTTGCTTCACTTGCCCAAGTTGGCACCATCATTGCGCTCTTCCCGGCTGAGGCAGATCAGTCGCCGGCTTCTGGACGGCCGCTCACTGCAGCTGCTGGCTACACATGGCAGCCCATGGCAACCCACTGCCACAGGGACTGCAGCCTACGCCGTAGCCAGCGACTCACAGCAGCCCAGCTCCAGGTTGAGCTGTTGTTCAGCATCTTAGCTGTAGAGGGCAGTGTCACTGGCCCTCATATGTGGGATCCGAACCGGGGCCCTCTGGCATCCCAAGCGAGTTCTTAACCATCGCGCCACTCGGCCGGCCCTTAATCTCACTTTTACATGAGTGCATAACAGGCCCTTTACTCGGTGACCTGTTCCACAAACAAGTGAAGCAGCACAGGCTGATAAAGAGATCTCTGCTGTCAGGAGTCACAGGTTAAAATCTAACTGCCTCATGACCTGGGCCAGGGGCTGGACTATTTCATCATCTGTAAAATGTGGGGAATGATAACTCCTTTCTCATAGGGTTGCTAGGAGATTAATCAATACAAAAAAACCAGTAAAACAGTTACTGGATATAGCAGAGCTCAATACGGGCCAATTAGGGTCAGCTGGAAAACCGAGGCAACATCAGCATGGCTTCTTTATTTTGAGAGGTCCACTCCAGGGCATAACCAGTGCTGGGAGACCAAAGTGCCACTGGCAGAGGACAGCCAGGCTATGCTGCGTAAAACCGTGGGCTCCCTGGGTTGGCTGATTTGTTTTATGAACTTGCTCTGAGGTGAGGCAGATGGAGCCTGGGTGAATGCACTTCCCTGGATAAGCCGATGGAAGGCAAGTTCCACGAGACCTGGGCTTTTGTCTAGGTTGTCTTTCACTTTCACCTTCAGCATGTCCAATAGAGCCTGGCACATAATTAGCACTCAACAGATACCTGCTCTTTTCAATGAGTGACTGAAGGAAGGGGACTGGAGAGCTGCTAAAACGGGCAACAGGTTTGGCTGAACACATCTAGGCAGGAGAACATTTATATCAGACCCATACTATTAGGACTCACTCGGTTACTATGAGGAAAACAATATTTCCCTAATACTAGAATTCATTTCCTAAGTGCCATTTTAATCAGATAGTCAGAGGGATCAGCTGCAAATATAATTGTCAATTACTGAAAGTATCCAATAATATTCACATCTTCCTTGAAATATTTGTGAAAACATCTTATGAAAAATCAAGATTGTAAAAAGTCACTTCCATTTATAACTAAATTTTCAGTGAAAATACTTAAATTTAAAAATTACCCCTCAAAAAATTATATAAGAAAACAAGCATGGTGATGCCTTATAGAGAAGAGTTAATTAAGTTCTGATTTTTCAACACGTAAAAAATCCAACCTGAGGGCCAGCTGAGTGGCGCATTGGTTAAGAGCTGGCTTGGGACGCCAGCTCTGAGCAGCAGGGCCGCTGGTTCAGATCCCACATGGGGGCCAGTGACACTGCCCTCCACAGCTAAGATGGTGAACAGCAGCTCGACCTGGAGCTAGGCTGCCATGAGTCACCAGCAATGGCGTAGGCTGCAGCCCCTGCAGCAGCCATAAGCTACCGTGTGTGGCTGGCAGCCAGTATGAGCAGCTGGCAGCCGGTGTGAGCTGCCAAGAGCCGCCGTAAGCGGCCGTCCAGAGGCTGGTGACCGATCTGCCTCATTCGGGAAGAGCACAATGATAATACCAATATGGGCCAGTGAAGCTACGTCCTCCACAACTAGACTGAAGAACAAAAGGACAGTAACTTGTCTGTTCCCCTTCCCCAGATTCCCCAGCGCTCTTCCCCTCCCCCAATTCCCCAATAAAATCTTAAAAAAAAAAAATCCAACCTGATGCCTTATAATTTCTAGCAAATGTGTAGCTAAGTATTCAGAGAAAGAAATAAAGGAATAAGAAAGAAATGAGTTTTTTTTTTAGAGGAGCCATCCTGCCACTTGTTGGCAGTTCAGCGGCAACTCAGCTCGGGCCGGGACTCAAACCACTGTTGCTCAGAGCTCGCACTCTTGAGTGAGCTCTTAACCAACTGAGCCACTCGGCCGGCCCTAATAAATGAGCTTTTTTCCTGTAAAGAAATACATTGTGATCTATTAAAATCTAAAGGCAAATTTTCTGACAATTTGTGACAAATTTAAGACAAATTTAACAATTTCCTGTGTTAGTAACATTTTGAAAGTTACAGCCTGAAATTTTATCCTGGCATCTAAATTAATCGCAGTAACTAAATATTAATTTGTTATTTGGGATACAATGAAATAGAGGCTCAGAAAAAAGTACATCGTTGAAGCATCATCCTTTAAACGAAAAAAAATGGAGAAAATATGAAAGAGCTTTTATCATAGATGGGACAAAAACATAACTCAAAGTGCTAATACTCAAAACATTTAACCCATAAAATATTTTTTAAAAGCCACAGGAAAGTTCCCCACCCTTGTTTTGGTTTACCTTGCACCATGAGCATGGGCTCCCTGCCTCCGCCGTGGGCCAGCATCTCTCTGCGGTAGCGTTCCCCGGCGGCCCTGGGGACACAGGACACTGTTACAGGCACATGCACACACAGCCCGCTCAGCCCCCACTCACACTTGTCTTGAGTTTCTCAAAAGAAGTCACACCAATGTCATATTCAGAAAAACTGCCACTATGAGACAATGCGGCCCTTTATTTTCTGGCTTCTAAAAATCCAATTCTGATTTGGAATGAGTGAAACCCGGTGTGATTTGTTTACTGGAAGAGGCTAACGATATTTTTAGCTGTTTTGTAGCAAGCAATCTCTCTTTGTAGAAAGGATTATGTAGTTCACTTATTATAGCATAAGTAAAAGATTGTATCCTATTCTCCATCATCTTCAGGATTATTTTAAAGTGGGATTTGAAATTATTTATACCATTTTGACTTTCATAAAAGAACTTGAGGTGGCACCCAACAAAGAAAAATAACACTCTGAAATAACAGTGAAAAATAAAAAAAGCTGGCAGGAGAGGGTTAATCCCACCAGGAGCCCTTGGCTGAGGATACTAGCTAATGGAACCGAAAACTGGCTGGAGTGTGTGGGTGGCGAGGGAAGGAACAGCTCGTTTTCATCTGCCGATACCCTCTGTCAGCTGGATTCTATAAGGAACACTGTCTGCAACACGATGGAGGCACATTTTGAAGAATTTTTTATAGGCAGAAATTCCCCAAGTTAATGGCACTTGGAGACAAGTTATATAGTGCTACTCTTTCGTATTTTACAGAAAATGCAATTCCTTCAATGCAAATGACGACACACTAGGATGACATAAGTGAATTTTGATGTTTTCATCTCATTATTTCTGTAGCATCTTTATGTTGGTGATTGTGCAAATGTGGTCATGAATCAGAATTTTTGATAGCATTACTGTATCAGAAATGCATTCATATCAAACACTAATTTGGGTTACATCCTGAGGAAAAGTATGCCATGAAGCAGGAAACCTGGACAGAAGGCCGGGTCTTCTCAGGGCACAGGGTCGGCTGAGCGCCCCACCTGACTCCAGCCTCAGGGGTGTGGTGTCCCCTCCCAACCCCTAGCCCATGTGAAACCCCTGCCACGGGCCTCCAGTTCTCTGCCAGCCTCAGCTCCATGTTGCCTGGTTTCCTGATGTCAGTGTCCAGTCCGGTGATTTTTCAAAAGTATCTTTTGACAGAGGTTAGAAATTTTCTAGTCCAGTGAGTATTTTTACTAGCTTACTTTTACATGTCTGTAAAAGTATGGTAACTACATGTCTAGGCTACAATGCATAGATAAATACAATGTAAATACTTGAAAATATATGTATTTAATAGTATATGGCTTTCTAGTAAAGTGTAGTTCCTTTAAACAAGACAATATTTTGTCTATTTTATAGAAATCTCCAGTAAAGAATTATAATACCCAAAATTGATTTATTGTAGTCAATTTTGGCTTTAGATTCTCTGAAAATAATAAAATCTGAAAAGCAGACCAAATGTCTGCAGTATGCAAAGGGCTGAAGACAAAATAACATGTGGGTACCAAGCTGTAAAACATTTAAAAATTCTATTACATCAGATTCAAGTTCAAAAGATTTGGGAACTGAATGTGATTATTAACTGCTGAGAAAACCCAAACGTATGGCAAACTGTATGAAAGGCTGAGGGGGCACAGAGGAAGCGGGGAGGGGGAAGGGATTAGCAGACCTTACTCCACCTTGTTAACTATGAAGCCTTGAACAAATAATTTATCCTCTCTGAACCTCAGTTTCCTCTTATAAAACATACCAGCTCTGCCAAGGCTGCTGTGAAGGTAAAATAACATGCCACAGGAACACTCTAGGGCCCTCTAGAAATTTAAGATGCCATTAATCTTAAACCATGCAAAAGCGGGGAAGATAACAGTCATCAGCCATGGTTGCCAGAGAGCTATTTGGAGGTGTATTTATTGGTGTGGTGAGGAGATAAAATGCTTTCAATGACTATCAGACCGGTCATAATTAGTGGTCTGCTTTCAAAGGAAGCTCCTTCTAAGGACACGTGAAACCAGAACTTGACACTACCCCTTCCACCCCACACCTTCGTGCTGTCAAGAGGGAGGCCCCTGTGCTTCTCCACCCAACAGGAGCCTTGTGACAACCCTGGGGAAATGGGGCTCCCACCTTCCCCCCAGCCCCCACGTCCTGCCTCTGTTGTGGGGAAGGGGTGGGCATCCTTGTCCCTAACTGAAATTAGCTCATGGGATCATTAAAGGCTCACCACATTCACTGGCTAATCTGATGCATTAGCTCCGGGAGAGGCCAGGGTCTCTGCACAGATGCGAACATCCCTGCAGCCGTCCATGGGGAGAGCTGCACACAGTCCTCTGAACCACTGACTATCCGGTGACAGAGCCGTCGAGCTCCGCGGCTCAGGGGGACACCTGCGAGGCAGGGCAGCAGGACGCCGTGTGGAGCAGGTACCCACACTGTCTAAGTGCTGGTGGGGGAGCAGTGTCCCTTTCCCAGACCCCCACTGTCTTCCACAGGGAAGGGAGGTGTTCCAGAGTCAGGCAGAGGGGGAGCTGTCCAGAACAAACTGGATGCTAACGTGGACTACCATAGCTTCCAGTGGTGCTGCTCCCAGAATAAGAAAGCAACAGTCCTTTCTTAGGCAGTAAGGAGGAGGTGAGGTGTTCCTCGCGAAGGGGGCTTCAGGTGCCAAACAGAAGGATACCTGTCAAAGTGCCAGGAAGCATCGAGAGCAACAGGGTACCAGCACCAGGGTACTGAGAACAGGAGAGGCTGAAAACTAAGCAAACCCAGGGAGAGGATGGAAACAAAGCAGCCCAGGCCCATTTTGGTCAGAAGCACAGAACCCTCAGACAAAGGGGTCACTGAGGGCACAAGGGCAGGGTGCCACACCACAATTGGCCATCAACCGCGGATCGCAGCCATGCAGGGCTGCAGCAGGAGGTGGGAGTCAGGGCTACGCTGTCCCTGGACGCAGGAGGGTGGCCCCCACAGGAAGGGCCTGACAGCGGTTTGGGCTGTGTGACCAGGGCCTCATAGGGCTCCGGGTTCCTCCCAGGTTTGGGCTGTGTGCTGAGCGGCAGAGGTTCTGAGCCTGACTCTGGATGCCGTGGGGTGGGTGGTTACTGAAGGTGAACAAGGGAGCATTTTGTGACAACCCTTCCGCTCGTTACCTGTTAAAAGGATCCTGTAGAAAACATTCCTTCCAAACCATAGAAGCTACTGCCCTGGACATCAGGTAAGAGTAATATTTAGCACCATAGCCCACAAGGTGGCTGAATCGCAGCTGCCAGGCCTGTCAAAACAGAAACAGCACAGGAAAGAATTAAGTCTCTGTATTTTCAGTTATTATGTATGAGAACACAATGAAAGCACAAAGAAATCTGCAAATGTTTTCATTTAAATTTCACCCGAGAAGGCCGTATCACTCACAATATTAACATTTTTTCTCACATCTTATATCCCGGACTGTGTCCCCTCAAAATCCCTATGTTGAAGCCCTAACCCCCAGCACCTCAGAAAGCGACTGTGTTTGGAGAAGGGGCTTTTAAAAGGGTGACAAAGTTAAAATGAAGCTGAGTCCTAATCCCATAGGACTAGTGTCCTTAGGAGGAAGAGAAGAGACCCCAGGGAGGGGCACACATAGGACAGACCACGTGAGGAAGCGGCAAGGTGGCGGCTGTCTGCAAGCCAAGGAGAGAGGCCTTGAGGAAACCAAACCTGACACCTGATTGTTTTATACAGGTTTGTTACTGCTGGGATTGATTTCTGTGGCAGGAATGTAGAGAACAGGTGCAGTGGCAGGAGTGACAATAGTGGAGTGGGACTGTCCCATCTATTCCAGCCTATTGGAGATGCCTGGTCATCAGCATCAGAGGACATTTCAGGCCTGGCAGTGGGTGCATCCATTCTTGCTGAGGACAATGATGTAGTGATTCTAAGAAAGTCCACATGAGTTTTCATGGAAGAATACTCCTAACTGGAAAATTCTTTTTGCATGAATACTGTTCTCTCTTTCTACCTAAAAGCTGAAAATACCTACATTCTGCTGGGTTAGTAGGTGGAGGCCATCCAAGTGCCAATGCACAAGCTCGCCTAGCACACACATTCATGGAACACTACTACCACAAAAGCCGGACTTGCAAAACTGTCCTTAAAACACATATTTATGACTTCGCAATTTTTACTTTTCCGAAACAAACAAATCTGACATGCAATAATCCACTGTCTTCTAATATATGCTTTATCTGACATTCACATTTTTTGAAAAATAAAGCCTCAGTTTTTTTTTAACTAAGATGACCATTCTCTCATAAATCTTTTGACTGCCTGGAAAATAAAATATAATCCTGACCACAAATCTATAATAGATAAGCAAATTCTACCTAACTTTTTAAGGAACAGATGTTAACAAAACAAAACAAAACAAAAACATAGATGGTTCCTGGGTCACAGCGGTGGGGCACATTTCAGAACATACCATCACATGCTAGTTACTCTCTGAGTGTGTCCACACTTTCAGACAGACATTCTGCTTGGACTGGGCAGGAGGTGTTATAAGGGAGGGCATGCCAGAGCACTCGACTAACACAGACCATGAGATGGCAGGGCACAGATGAACAGGCATCCTCACATCCACCCTCCCCTTCCTTCCAAGGAAATATGACTGGAAGTAAGGTGGGCACCCTGAGAACTGTGATCTTGAGGGAGAGCTGTGCCCTTCCTCCCTGCGGTGCCCATGTCGGGCCATCAGTGAAGGCGAGACCCCAACGACGGGGGAGCTGCAGATGGGAGTGTGGTCTCCGACTCCATGTGGCCCCCACAGTGCTGGGGGGTATGCTCACACGGCTGCTACTGTGGGTTTGTTATGGTAACCAGACTTGGGTCCTTCCTAATTCGCCTAGGCACAGGTGCCACCACCATGCAGCACTACGAAAGCATGAAGACTGGTGAGGCTGAAGCGCTTGAAGCTCCACAGTGGCCCTGCCTGGGCTGGGACAATATAACACACATTCTCCTGCCAACAAGTACCCTCGGGGGGCAGTGGAGGGCATGGGAAGGTAGAGGCAGGCTTTATACTGTTTGTATGCACGTGGGGTTTAAATGGAAGGCAAGTAGCCAAGGACCATCTATGGATCAAATTCCATTATAACAAATTTCGAATAACTAATGTTTTAGTCGAAGAGCTGGGTCTTTTGGAATTCATTTATAACCTATGTAAGTTCTGTAGACTCTGTCTTATTTTAAAAAGGGGCCTCTGTGTCAGCTTTTGTGTTATGCTGGAATCTTAATGGACCACTGGTGATCTTTCTCATATAAAGCCGCTGGGATGTGATGGTATCTTTTGTAATGGAATACAGCCGGCGTCTTTAACGTGATACTCGGCCGATACTGGGTCTCAGGCTATCGATGATATAAGTCTCTCTCAGGGTGAAAGCCCCACGATTGGTAGCACACAGTTAAGGGGCTCTGTCTTTGAAAGTTTTTCTTCTTGGGGATCTGCCAGAACAAGTTTGGCAGCCTTTGCTGTACAGAGCTGAGCTTAATTTTGTTTAGATTCAGGCTGAATACAGCTTTGTCTAGTCTTGAAAGCAGGCCTACTTCGATAGTGGCATTTGATTTGAGCTAAGAAATTTCTAGGTTCCTTAGTTTCATCAACTTGTAACCGAGTTCCCACATAAACACAGTCATAAAAATAAGACCTTTCAGAAGTGCAGAAAGAGACATCAGGATTTGTGTAATGCACAGTTTCCTGGACCGCCACGGCGTCTGCCTGACACCAAAATCCTGACCTGGATACAGATATTCTGGCACAACGCACACCTCGTTGTGTCTTGCTCTTTAATTACAGGTTTGAGTTCGGCACTACACCCGTTCCATACCTCAAGACATGCTAAATAAATTACACCTACCTGACACCTTTCATCAGCGGTTTGTAAATTTATGACATACTAAGACCTACAATTTCACTGCTATTTGACCACAAATGACTGAATTCCTGCTAATTCAACCTGATATTAAGTCCTGGTTGCCATTTCACTCATTCATCAGGAAGAATGAAAGACAGAATTCCATTTTAAATTCTGGAGTTATTATATCCTCTTCCTTTTAAATTGAAGTTTTCTTCTTCATGGACGTTTGTCAGATGGACAAGAGTTTTCACTCCTCCTTTAATGTGTAATGTGCAGATCTGACCTCAAAAACAAAGGATGCACTTTGGCAGTTTCTCTTTTATCCTGACTAGGAGTGGGGTTTCCTAATCCTAACACAATTCTGAGGCAAGGCTATTAAAAACTCCCCTTGAGTTAGATAATCTCAGCGATCTCATACGAAAGACAAAAACATGGAGCAGGTGAAGCAACATGGCAGGAACTCAATGGACACCAACTTGCTTCAGAACTCAGAGAAGGTGGGACCTCCGATGGTTCTTATTTGCTACGGCCCCTTTTTTACCACACACTTTTCCTCCATCCAAATCAGAGACAGCCAGGAATGGAAAGGCAGCAAACTAGCTGGTTACTTGCTACAGTGTCCCCCCTTATCCACCAGGATCTGTTCCAAGACGCCCAGATTCCTAAAACCAGGATAATATATCTGACCCCTACATAGTGTATAATTTTTCCTATAAATATATACCTATGATAAAGTTTAATTTATAAATTAGGCACAGTACTAGATTAACAATAATAATAGAACAATTATAACAATATGCTATAGCAAAAGTTACGTGAATGACTTTGGGGCCATTATTAAGTAAATAGGGTCACCTGAACACAAGTGCGGCAGTATCTCGACAGTTGATCCGACAAGCAAGACGGCTATGTGACTAATGGGCAGAGAGTATATACGAGACTGGATACACCGGACAAAGGGACAATCCACATCCCGGATGAGTCAGAGAGGACAGCATGAGATGTCATAATGCTACTCAGAACGGCATGCAATTTAAGACTTATGAATTGTTTATTTCCAGAATTTCCCATTTATTATTTTCAGAGCGCAGTTGACCACAGGTAAACTGAAACTACAGAAAGTGAAGCCATGAATAAGGGGGACTACTGTACCTATTTCAGTTTCAAACCTAGAAGAGGGACCAGTGCAGAATAAGTGCTCATTAATTACATGTGAAATGCTCAATGGCTGAATGATCATTTTTCTTAATTATACTCTCAAGTGTAGCACATCATTTGTTTATTTCTAGCTATATGTACATACATGCATTTAGCTAAAATTTACTTTAAAACAATTTTATCAGTGGAACATTATAAACTATGAGAACAGAAATGACACCACTGCTTCCTTGGTGTGTGTTGTACTGAAGTGAAATTTCCCTAAGAGCCTGAACCACGATGCTGTGTGTGTGCCTACACTCCTCATGGCACCTGGGGTGCAAGAGGATCCAACAGCTGTCTGCTGAGTGGACAGATGGATAGATTGATGGATCGATGGATGGACGGACAGACACTAGAAGATTCTTTCACAGTGATGCTCAATATTACTGACAGACTTTTGACTGAGATGAGGAGGCCAGGTATAATATAGTTTTCACAGACAGGAGGTTATTACAGTGCTAAAAACAGCTTTTGGATCTCAGGGTGACTATTAATAAAATATTTTAATAAGAATTTTTCTATTACATCATTCGATAGTGATATAAGAATTTGAGGCTATTTTGGCACCAGCTCTCCTGGTCTGGGCTATGTACAGGGTCTGTGTAGTGCTTCCTAGTGTGCGATTTCAATCTCCTTCAAGCTTCATAGATTCTAAACAAAGATGGGCCAGCAATACCATACAAGCTCAAAAAGTCCTATTGTTCCACATGTGCCTGCTGTGATTAGGACACCTAAAGGACAGTGAGAGAGGAAGAAGCAAATGCCAGAGCTGGGTCTGGGTGGACAGGCCACTGTGACTCTTCACATTCTCCATGTACAATACTGCTGGTCTGGGGAGTATCGCTTATAACACCAAATCTTTATCCAAAAGTGTTTAATGATTAATCACGGTGGAGACCAGAGGAGATAGCCTTCTGTCTACCTTCTCATGTTCATATTCTCTCTCTCTGAAGGTGTGTGTACGACGTATATATATATATATTTTCCATGAATTAATGTAGACTAGTATTTCTAATTTGATAAAAGTCCCTATTGACATTTTACCAAAACCCATGAAACAACAGTGGCAAATAAATGGAACTCTCAATTTTGAATATAAAGTGATTTAAAATGTAACACAGCTATTGTGTTGGATGCACGCTCATGTGATTCCCATGATCCTGTCTTCTCCTTTGTGAAATCT